GAAGGGGTTCCCAGGCTGCTGCCTTCCATCTGAACAACGTGGTCCTGAAGAGATGCTCTCTGCATGTACACTGTTGCTGTTCCTGGAGTCTTTCCCACTTCGAAGAATGATTCCTAGCTTTGCAGTTGTGACAAATTTCCCGCACAGCGCAGCATCTCTCCTTGGATTTATTGCTTAGTCTTTCCTTGCAGCATTTTTCCCCCTTGGTATATGTGAATCTTCTCCCATGGTGCCATCTCATACCATCTTTGATAGATGGATGTGATTCAGGATGTATAGAGCAGTGGCCCAGACAGATTGCTGATTTCACCATTTTTTTGCAGTAGTATGGGGGAGGGGCGCTTGTTCACAAAGGCTCCAGAAATGTTTCTGCTCTTGCATGACAAATATTTCTCTCTTGGACCACTCTTGGTGCAGTTTGAGGGGTATCTTGAGGGACTTGTGCTCCAGTGGGGGTTTGCCCCAGACTCCCCCCATTCCTGTCAAAGTGGATAAATGCAGTTTCTCTGCTTTGGGGAATCTATAGCTGCTCTGAAAAGCACAGGCTTTTATCAGGACGAGTTTGGTGGATGCAGCTTTTTGCAAATGCTTGAAGATGTGGCTTAGCACTCAAACTCCCTAGTTAAGAGCAGATGATGAAGTGTTCCTGTTTTTGTAATGTTATCTCTTTGTTCTAGGCATCACGTGGGTTACTTCCTCAACACCATGTTCTCCTTTCCCATGCTGGGATGTGACTAGATGGCCAGCGTTCCTCACTCTGTATTGCAGAAGAGACCTGGTTCTTCCACAAGATAGTTAGATTAGTTCCAGCTAGGAAGATCTCCCTCCTCTAGCACTGTACCCACAAGGATGAAGTGTCAGGGAAACCTGTGGGAGCCTCCCTTGGACAATTCCATCCCCTTCCCTGCCCTCGCCAGTCAGGATTGGTGATGGGGCAGTCTCCCATAGTGGAAGCCCTCTTGGATGCTTGAATGCTCCCCCCAGTTCATCCCAGAGGAGCTGGGGGTGGAGTGAGGGAGTAGGCAGCGTAGGGAGATCTCCCTCCCTGGCAAAATGGCCCCTGCCCTTGCATGCTTTCAGCTTCACCCAAAGGAGGGCATGGAGCATGAGCTTCTCTGCAGTGGGAACCAGGAGCTGATTTGATGGGATAAGGGAGGCACTCTCCTGGAGCGCTGTCTGCGCTTTTCAGCATCTGCCTACTGACAGCCTTGCCCCTTCCCAGGCAGAGGAGAGGACAGACAGGCTGTCAGTCACTGAGCTCCCCTGCGCCTGTGTAGTTCTCCAGCCAAGGGTCTGGACACATGTATGCTCAGCTCCTCAGCTAGTTTTCTACGGGCAGGATTTGCACCGAAATTCTTACTGCTGGAAATGGCCACCTGCCCACGACCTGTCTCCATGTCATGGATGCTCTGTTAAATATTGTATTTAGTTACAGAAGGATTAACCACCACATCAAGACTGTATTCTATAGAGGAGGCTTTATAATTGGTTCCAAGGTGTGGGTCAAATGTTGAGCAGTCATTTGGTGTTGGCATTAAGCCACTTAACCACTATAGTTAGAGTTTTGTTTGTCCTGAGTGAAATTCTTTACTTGGCACTTAAAATCAAATTTTCAGCCTTCCTCCTAGTATTGTCTCTAGATTACATGAGAATGGGTTATTTTTAGCATTAATTTGTCTGTTTAACTAATTTGATGCTTTGCTTTCACTCCCATATTGACACTATCTTCCTGATTTGCCATGGATTTGATACTGATTTGATGGCTGTATTCCTTCAGTCTTAGTTTAGTTTAATGCTGTTCACAAAGCTGAGCTTTGGCACTAGGCTTTCTTGATTTTTATTTTTAAGCTTAATAATAACATTTGCATAACAATTTTGAATCTAATTTATTACATCGATGGGGTGCTCGTGCAGCAGACACTTGCAGATCAACACAAGAGTCTGACCAACCAGTCCTAAATGGAACTTACTTATGGTTCAAGTCCACTCGTTCCTGTAGTCAAGGACACACAAGGGAGTGATGTGGCTACCATCGTATCCAGTTGCCTTTAAGTCCCTGCGGAATTACTGGGTCGTGTAATTACTGGCCGTCTATGGCTGGGTTGACTGGGGGTGACCAAACAGAACAGGGCCTAAACTTCCACTTTTGGAGCCATAGTGAGACTCCTTAACTGCTCTGTTACTGCACAGGGGTAAATACAGAAGAGTTATAAACTCCTGCCTCGTAGCATAATCCATGTGTTAACTAGCATTGAGCAAAAGAGGCTCTCCCCAGGGTTGATTACTCTGTAATTGTTCAGTATGTGGCTCCTTGCTTTCCTTCCCTGCAGCCTTTCATGCTGGTACCTGTCAGACAAAGTAGTAGCCTAGAGAGACCTCTGGGTGCCTTTTTCTGGCATTAATCTCTTGTGCAAAGGGAGGCTGCTTACCAAACTTGGTTATGGAGTAGGGAAGAGGATGCCTGAGTCTTGGGATTCAGGGTGTAATTGTTCAACCCAGGCCCAGTGGGAAATTTCCCCTTGTGTGCCTTGTATGACATTGTGGGTAAAAGTTCTAGCATCATTCTTGGATCTCCCTCCCTTGCTGCATCATCGGCCCAGCAGGGATGCTCGACTCCATGGACCAATGGTCTGATAGGGCATGACAGTATCACCAATTGGCAGGTACAGTCCTTTGCTTCCCTCATTTCCCAATATTTGCTTTAAGGATTGCTCAGAAAAAAGTGGACCGACTGATTTCAAGCTTTACCTTCCCTCATAACCCATTGCTTGATGTGGGCTTAACTCTGACCCTGCTTTCCTGGCACTGTAGTCAGTGTTGATGCTCTGGATTTATGGGTCTGGTCACACAGTTTCAGACAGACTCCACACGGGACACTTGAGAGATGCCAGTCACGGGGCCCATCTGCAGCTGTGTTTTCAGAGGAGGGGGTGTTTGGGTCTCGTTTATGCAAATGCTGGTTGCTATTCCAGGATTCCCAAGGAGGATGCTCTCCTCTGGCTCTCCCAGGAGTCTGACAGCACAGACGCAGCTCCCAGAAGCTCCCGTGTAGCTCCAAGGATTGGTGCATTGCTGTCAGAGAGACCTGCCTTCGGCAGGGCTGGGGAGACAGCTTGCCAAATCACCCTTTGTGAACCATTTCTATATTTGGACTGGCACCATGTGGCTGTAGGTCCCAGCAACCACACTTCTCACAGCTGCTGGGAGAGGGGAGGGAGGTGGGGGTGAGGCTGGCAGGCTACCTAGTGAGTCCTGACAATCACAGGAAATTACCCAGCTGATTTCTGGGCTGGGTGCCCTGCTTCCCAATGGCACTGAGCATGAATACAGGCTGCTGCCAGAGCTAGAGATGAACTTTATTGGAGGAGCCCCGGGTGAGACAGCAGGGCTTACTGGCCCAGTCCAGCAGGCAGGCAGGAAGGTGGAGAGATGGACAGACAGACACAGGCAAAGTATGCATCGTAAGTGCAGCATCTGCAGTATCTGCTCTCCAGTTCTTCTCTGGAAAGTTTCTCCTGCTGGCTCCCTATCCTGCTGCTCCTCTCCTATTTTCCCTCCACTTCAGGCATCACTGGGGCCCCTCATACCTATTAGTGATGGGCACCCTCCTGTTATAGCCAAGGGTTCACCTCTGCAGCCTAGTCATAGAAAATTAGGGTCACCTTAGCTTAGTCATCTTGGCTTATGACTAAGTCACCTTGGCTTAGTCATAGAAAATTAGGATTGGAAGAGACCTCAGGAGGTCACATCTAGTCCCAACCCCCTACTCAAACAGGACTGTCCCCAACTAGATCATCCCAGCCAAGGTTTTGTGTAACCATGTCTTAAAAGCCTCCAAGGATGGAGATTCCACAACCTCTCTGGGTAACCTGTTCCAGTGCTTTACTACCCTCCTTATGAAAAGGTTTTTCCTAATATCTAATCTAAACTTCCCTTGCTGCAACTTGAGACCACTGCTCCCTTGTTCTGTCATCTGCCACCACTGAGAACAGTCCAGCTCCATCCTCTTTGGATCCCCTCTTCAGGTAATTGACAGGTGCTATTAAATCCCTCCTCAGTCTCCTCTTCTGCAGACTAAATAGTCCCAGTTCCCTCAGCCTCTCCTCAGAAGTCACATGCCCCAGTCCTCTAACCATTTTTGTTGCCCTCTGCTGGACTCTCTTCAATTGGTCTGCATCCTTTCTGGGGGTGGGGGCAGAACTGGACACAGTACTCCAGATGCTTCCAGCATCCCTAATCTAATGGGGGCTCTTGTAGGAGCCCATGCTACTATTGGCATTTTCATCTTGCTGTATTGCCCATGACTGGGGGAAAAATATGGCTTGTTGCTGTTGGGGAATGCCCTGTCCCTGACCTGTCATCTGGAGAATTGTGTAGATAAGGGGCCAGGCCTCTTGTTGCTATCCAAGCTGGTCCCATGATGCACAGTAGTGAATCAGCTTGGTTTAGTAGGTTATAGATATTCTCCTTCTGCCCTGATAGTCAGCTATAAGCCAGGTGGCTGCCTTCGCCCTTTCCACATACCAGCATAGTAAAGCACCTTGCTACATGGCTGGCCTTGTGCAGTGGCACAAAGATTGGCTGGTTTAGTAGGTGCCTCAGCCCATGTGGCATATTGCATGTGACAGGAGCAAACTCCCCCAGAGAGGGCTTGGGGAGGTCTCATGCAGAAGTTGCCATGGGAAGCTCTGTGGGGCATGGACTGTTTTTGTGCTTGGTGCTTGCACAGCATCCCTGGCACAATGAGGTTTGGTTGGAAAAAAGGGGTACAATGGTAGGTGCTATCACACCACAGAGAATGACCACAAAAGTCTAATTCAGTTTCTCTGCTATCCGAGCTTGTTTGGAGGGGCTGGACCCAGGACTTGATATTCCTTGAACATTTGCTTGGGGGATGCTTTGGGGTGACCCGAGTACAGGGAGGAGGGAAGCAGGGCCTGTGAAATAGTAGCTTGTATGTGGAAAATATTCTATGTGTCTCTTTCCTTTCCATAGGTTACGGACCTGGGATAAGAGCAGCTGTGTTGACCAAAGTGCATCCTGGCTCCAGGAGTAACTTCTTCACTACAAAGTGCATCTCTGCCTTGTGGGAAAGTATCTGATTTCAAAATGTCCAAGAGGTTGAAATGTCCTCCTGACTCTCTTAAAGCTGCTGGCTGCACCAGGTACTTAAGAGGATCATAGAAAAAGAGCACCGTGTTTCTCTCTGAGCTCCATGGCTTCACTGTGTTCCTTCATGATGTTTCTGCAATGGGATCCAGTATACAGTGGACTGTCAAGATCCCAGCATGGCCAGCTGGGATGAACAACAGATAGCCAAAGACATTTTTCTTTTTATCAGCCTTGATGGTTTGAAGGACCTTTTTTTATCCCATAGCCATGAAATACTGATCTAAATTATGCCAACTTCAGCTTCAACCATGACTTCCAGTGCAGGGAACAAATCTACATTGGTGTGAGACAAAGCATGGAGGAGCTCACAGCTATTTCCAAGCTGCCCATCTCTTTGATACTCTCCAAAATAGACCATGGGCAGAAGTAGCAGTGTAATCCAGGTTCAACAGATCTGTGGTCCCCAGAAGAGACCCTGAGGAGGCCTTCACAGCAAATCGTTAAGCAAGCCACATCAATCTCTCTAGAGACTGGAGTGTGTCTAAAGAGTGCCGCCATGATGTGTGAGGTGATGCCTACCATCAATGAGGGTGACCCCCTGGGGTCCCAGCCAGGGTCTGACTCCGATGCCAACTTTGAGCAGTTAATGGTGAACATGCTGGATGAGAGAGACAAGCTGCTGGAGACACTAAGAGAAACCCGAGAGACCCTGTCCACGACCCAGGGCCGGTTACAGGAGACTGTGCACGAGCGAGACCAGCTACAGAGGCAGATAAATTCTGCCCTTCCACAGGTAAAGTGAGCAGACCAGGAGCTTGGGAGAATGCCAGTGAGCAGAGGGGTAGAAGTGGTGGGAGGTGGACCTTGGTTCTTGTGTGGAGGGGCTGTGGGATCAGTCAGGTTAGCACACTCTTGAAGGCAGATTTGCCTTCTTGTGGTGAAGATGCCAGACTAACAGAACTGGATTACACTACTTTGTAATCATGAGCCTAAATCCAGTAGTCATATGCTCTGGGTGACTCCATTTCTGGGTGTCAAAAGCTGGTGTGCATCCACAAGGGGCATGCGAATGGGCCCTAGCTACTACTTCATGTGCTCTGTGCATGACTGCATAGTTGCACAGGCTGTCACCTATGTACGTGCCCAGGAATAGAATGCCAGCCTGGGCATAAGTAGCATCTTTGGCATGTAGACAACTAGAACTGCCATGTCGATGACCAAATCTAGATGCTTAGATGACCAGGAAGGAACAGAATGCCACCCATAGAGCATCTGTTTCAGAAGAGGTCGGCCCCTTGTGTTGAGTAACTACCACTAGACTTTTGGGAGCCTGATTTTTCTGGATGCAGTGAGCACATGAAGCTTCTAGAGAGTGTAGTAGATATGGGTGCTTAGCATCTCTGCACATCAAGTCTCAAGTGTCTGAAGCTGGGCATCCAGGAACTGAAACCCCTGGAAATGTGGGTCTTCATCTCTGCTTTACCCAGAGGTGTAAGAGCTTGCCACCACTGCACTGCCTGGAAGAGCTTGATTGTCTGATTTCAGTACAGCACTAAGCAAATGCAAGGGGTGTCTGTGCTCAGTGAGGTTATTAACAGTCATTGTTAATCATGGATTAGACCCTTGTTTTCTACTTGTAACCATAGGACTTACAGCTCTCTCCTTCTGTTGCAAGTGGGGGTGTTTGCCAGTACTTTACGGAGGCTCAAGGCAGGGAAGGTGCAAACTGCAGCCCAGGACACCTGCTCCTGTCTGAGGAAGCTGCTGCATAGGAGTCTGATCTTGCTAGACAGTATTAACGTTCTTAGTTCTTCCTCCCAGCGTTTGCTACCCTGAGGAAGGATGGCCCAGTGGTTAGGGTGCTGACATGCTCAGCCACAGACTCCCATGTGTGACCCTAGCACCAAAAATCAATGGGACTCAAAGACCCAAATATCTTTTAGAAATATAGGCCCTTGCCTTTTTAGGCCTCAGGTAAACAGCACTGCTCTGTTTCCTGCAGATGTGTTAAGGTAAGTCAGGTAAAAGTTGTGAGGTGCTGGAATCCTATAGGAAAGGGAACCAGGGAAGTTTGACAGACTGACCTTTTGTTTGACTGGGTAATAGAGGTGTGTAGGAGATGAGGGTGGGGCTGGCCATCAGAGTAAAGTCACCTGGGACTCGCTCAGTCTAGCATGAGTGGATATGAACACCTCACCCTTAGAGCATCCTAACCAGATCCCCAGAGATCACCGAACAGCTTGGTGATCCTGGTGCCCCATTCAGTTTGGTAACTCACCTAGTTAAAAGGCAAGAGTGTTACTCAAAAACTGTGGTGGGGAACTAAACATGCTTAGTAGTTATGGCTTAGGCCTCAAATTTATATGCAATGTCAAGACTTCCCTAGCAGGCTCATGGCTTTTTTTGCATCCACAGATTGCCAAGTGCTTGGCAAAGGGCATCAGTAGAATTATTGCCAGAGTTGGGAAATGACTTGTCCAAAGTCACCCTGCAGGGCAGTGCTAGAGCTGCAGTCTAGTGCTGTATCCACTAGGCGCCACTGCTATTAGGATCTTGCTTGTCTGGTTCCTTGCTCACGAGTGGCTGTTTAGCTCAGTTGGTTAGAGTGTAATGCTAATAACACCAAGGTTGCAGGTTCAGTTTCTGTTTAGACCAAATGATGCTTTGAGGTCCCTTTCAGTCGTACTTCTCTATGATCTATGGTTGTGAAGAAGCCTTGTCCCTTAAGAAGGGGTAGTGTTTACTCCTTGTCATCTGGGTAAAACAGAGTGAGGTACATAGTCTCCCTTGGTAGGGTAAAGGGTAAATTAGCATCACTTTCCCACCTCTGTTTCATCCCGTGGCCAGTGCTTTGGACTGTATTCAGGGGCCTGACTGAGCGGGGTGCTGGGGGTGATGGTTGCCAGAGGCCCTCTACTATCTCTTAGTTGTGGGGAGAGTGTTTACTCTGGGAGCCCAGGAAAACGTTTCCCACTTCCCCTCCTCCTTTCATGTGGGGGGAGGTCCTGTGGGCCATTTCTCTTTCAGCAGTACTAAATATCAGCTGCTTTTTAACTGGGACAGGATCAGCCGTTGGTGGTGTGGGCTGGATAGAGCTGAGGCACCTGACTACGTCTTGCAGTGCTCTGGGCTGACACATGGAAGGGAGAAGGAGGATATTCCTAGTGAGCTGGTGTGAGGTTTCAGCAATCCCTGCATGGTGCAGAGCATGGCTTCAGCCCCTGACTCATGCCCTCCCTTCAGAAGGGGCTGGCCCTGCTCAGCTGCGGAGACACCTCTGCTTCCAGGCTGATGAAGAGGGGATGCTAAGAAGCCGGCTCCTATCTGGAAAGCCTCCCAGTGACAGGCTAGGCAGGGGCAGCCTAGCCCAGAAAAACCCAGCAGGAAGGAGAGAGTGCTGTTCGGCCTCTGAAGCCAGGCGGGAGCAGAGATGCTGCAGCCCAGCATCCCCAAGGCACCTTCTGTAACTCCAGGCTTGATTTTTTTCTGAACCCTCCTCCTCTGTGATATCCCTTGCTCCCCTGCAGCCTCAGCTAACCAGCAGCCAACCTGTCAGAAGGGCCAGGTGAGCTGGCTTGGGCTCAGGACACTGGGAGGTTGACTAAGGGTGACGTAGAGAAGTTTGATTCTTGATGGGACTGTCCCATGCCCACCCTGCTCTGTGTCCAGCCTCTGTTGTTAGCCTAGGTCTCATAAAGCTGCATCAAGATGTCTTGCCCACTGCTGCTGTGCTGAGCAGTACCTTCCCCCTGCATGGCCTCCTGGCTTTCTGGAAATTAAACTCTCTCTTGGTCTGAAAGAGCACAGGACAGGTCTCAGCCCTGACAGCCCAAATGTGATGCTGACAGTGACTGAGGAGCAAGAGGCAGCGTTCCAGTTGGTCAAGGATGGGGGGGGCCCTTCATTCACTAAAACGGCCACAGATCTGTGTGCACTGCTCTGTGCCACATGCAAAGCCCTGAGCTGTACCGGCACTCAAAGCTAGGCAGCCCTAAATTATAGAGCATTAAACTCCTGAGACTCTCACAGACAGGCAGGTGCTCAGCCCTGTAAAGGAGTGGCCATTCCTTCATTAGCTTGGCTTCCCTGAACAGCCTGTGTTGTTGCAGGGCCTTTGCTCCATTGGAAGCACTGAGAGACAGCGCACTCCTGAGTTACTGGGGAAAACTTAAGCAGTCTAATGGTCAGTGCATGGGCGTGGGAGATCAGAAATCCTGATAGATGTGTCATTGACTCACTGTCATCTTGGGTAAATTGTCATTTCTCCATGCCTCAGTTTCCCAACCAGTAGATACTGTCATCCTTCCCAGGTGCTCTGAATCGAGTTAGTTAATGCCTGAGTAATCACCTGGAGTTGCATGATACTCGCTTGGAGCCCAGACCTGCATCTGTGGAAGCCTGGGTTAGTTTTGCTGTAGCCCAGGGCTAAATGATATCAGTGCTACCCTTTTGTTGCTTCAGGCTTACATTTATGTATCTCATTGTTTCAGAGCACCAGGCCCTTCTATCCATTGCAAAAGACTACGGTTCAGCCACCTCCACAGACCTACCAAATGTTGCCCTGGACAGAGGGCCAGGCTTCCTCTTCTCCATCTCTTACCTGGCCTGTTAATCAGTATTTTCTTTTTCCCCATTTTGCTCAGGCTCATCTTGTCCGTAAGCCACAACACCCCAGCCTCGTTATACTCAGTGCTCTAAGTAATCTGATGGCAGAGAGCCGACTCCTTTTACCTGGCAAAGCACTAGCCTGCCCCAGTGCACCGTGTGTGATAAATGTCTGTAACAACAGCAGCTAGGTGGTTCTAATGGACACAGCCCCAGACTGGGAGACCTGGCTCCACAACTGCCCTGTTGAGTGACCTTGGGCAAGTTGCTTCCCCTTTAGTGTGGCCTGGGGAATGAAAAGTGCTAGGGGTTATTTGGGGGCCTCAAGGGAAGGGGAGTTGTCTGGCAGGTGCTCTAGACTTGACTCAGGAGGTCCCTTCTAGTCCCACGTTTACCTGGACCAGCACGTAGGGGAGGTAGTTGGGTGGTGTCTGCTAATGCATTACAGACAGCATGAGCAGCAGAGGAGCGGGAGCATCAGCATCCCCTGGGGTCACAAACAGTGTAGCCAGGCTCATGGATTTGGCACATCCTGTCTGAAAGGTGCTTGGACTGAATTTGCCTTTCTTGTACTCTTGGCTGTACCCAAAACAAACAGCTGCTTTGCTTCACTACTGAATGCTCAGGATCATTAGTGCTCTGGAAAAACCCTGCAAATTCCTACTGTGGAAAACTACCATATCACAAAGTGTCCTTCAGACTGTAAGGGCGGATCAACTGGAAGCTGCCCATGCTCTGTCTGAGATTGTTCTCTCCCCTCCAGCACTGGAGGCAGCTGCCACAGCATGAGGAAATGGGGTGGGATTATCCCTGCGAAAACCTTAGTTCTGCATTGTGGATCTCCTGGTTGGGGCTAATTGCAGCCTGGTCTGTTGCAGGGCACAGCTAGTGCCGGCAGGTGGTGCTCCAATCAAGTAGAAACCCCCAAGACTGCTGGCAAGAGGCTCCTGTAATACCAGAGGTGTCTCTAGGAAGCATCACTCCCAGTAAACACACCCAGCCAGGCTCTGAGTGGCCTGGTCAGCATGCCAGGGAGCTGCTTGGCCATCTCTGAGCTTGGCTGCCCTTGCCCACTATCCTCTTCCAGCTGGGCCACTGTTGTCCACTATTATTTCATTTGTGCTCATTGCCAGAGCCATTGGCAGGGTGGTGGCTGTTCTGTTTCTTCACATATGTCAAGTAGTATAA